GTTCACTCCCCAAATGGCTGCAATGGCTGGAGCTAGACCAGTTCGAAGCCAGGAGCTTCTTCCTGGTCTTTTACGTGAGTGCAGGAGTCCAAGTAGTTGAGCCGTCTTCTACTGCTTTCCCAGGCAGTATCAGAGCTGGATTTGAAGTGGAGCTGCTGAGACTTGAACTGGCGCCCATATGGGATGTTGGCACTGCAGGCAGTGGCTTTACCCACTACATCACAGTGCTGGCCCCTAAAGCCCATTTAATTATACATTTAAAGTGGGTGAATTGCATAGTCTTTGAATTATATCTCAATAAAACTGGTTTAAAAAGATTTCCATGGATGACTGATAGAATAATGAAACTGTCAGCAAAATGTAAAGTATCAGTAGCAGATCTGGGGAGATGTGTAAAGCAAGTGAGATTGGTTTTAGACATGCTAAGTGCATGGCGCCTGCAGGACATGCTTTGAAGAGGGCAAGCAGCCATATAGAAATGTTAGTGTGCAATTTGGAAGTGGTCAGATTTAACGATACAGATTTATAGTGTGCTTTCTCCACAGGTAATTGTAGTAGGAATGCAAATCCCAGACTCACCATTACTTAGCTGTATGATTATAGGCAGCTTACTTAACCAGCCTACACTGTTACTTCCTCAGCTTTAAAATGGAGATAATAGTAACTGCCTCATAGATTGGTTTATCTTCCCTTGCAAAAGTTTTCTGTTGTTCTTTTGGGATTTGTTTTTTAAAACATAACTGTAATATTCCACATGCAGCTGCTAGTATACGTCCTGACACATAAGTGACCAGTCAGTAGTAGTCATTACTGCTCTCTATTGAAGTGGTAGGAATAAATGAAGCTGAACAGACTCATAGAATGGCAGATGTCCTAAATAGCACTCTGGCCTCAGAATCAGCCCTAAAGGCACTCGGATCTGGCTGAAAAGCCCATGAGAGTATTTCAGGCATGGAAAGCCAAGACACTCTGGCAAAAAGATCTCTGTGAGTGAGATCCCAGTGGAAAGAACAGGTCTTCAAAGAGGGAGGTGCCTTTCTCTGAAGGGAGGAGAGAACCTCCACTTTGACTATGACCTTGTCTAAACAAGATAAGAGTCGGAGAACTCAAGGGGCTTCCATAGCCTTGGAAACTCATGACTGGTGCATAGGGAGATTACTGATGCCATAAACAGGAGTGTCAATTTGTAAAGTCAACAACAGGAGTCACTGTGCACTTACTCCTCATGTAGGATCTCTGTCCTTAATGTGCTGTACACTGAGGCTTAATGCTATAACGAGTACTCAAACAGTATATTTCACTTTGTGTTTCTATGGGGGTGCAAACTGTTGAAATCTTTACTTAATGTACACTAAACTGATCTTCTGTTAAAAAAAAAAAAAAAAAGAAAAGAAACTATCAATTCCCAACTTGACTCTCACTGGGATTAAACATGACAATAGGTCTGATCTGATTTCATCATCATTTAAAAAAAAAATCATCTATTATTTTTCACTTTATGTTTCTGTGTGGGAACAAACTGTTGAAATCCTTACTTAAGGTATACTAAGCTGATCTTCTGTATACTAAGATAATCGAAAATGAATCTTGATGTGAATGGAAGGGGAGAGGGAGTGGGAAAGGGGAGGGTGGTGGGTGGGAGGGACGGTATGGGGGGGAAAGCCATTGTAACCCATGAGACGTACTTTGGAAATTTATATTCATTAAATAAAAGATAAAAAAAAAAATGAAGCTGAAGACTACAGGGAGCAAGCATAGAGGAGGGTTGGCACCACAGATATTGACAGAGGTCTGTTTTAGGAAAGAAGAAGGAGCAGGATAGTGGTAAGACAATGCATGCACATTTAATGGCTTAAAACATGATTTTTCTTAATACTTGGAGAGTTCAGAAGGGCATAGGCTACATAGTAAGTTTCTTCCTCCTCATTCCCATCTCTCAAAGGAATGAAACAGATACAATTTCTGTCCTTTCAATAGTTTGCCTTTTAGTGGGAAAATTTAACAAATAGATATTAGGGTAGGGTAAGTGCCTTGAAGAGAGATAAGGCAGATGAAGAGAGGGAGATGGAGATGTTATTTTAAACAGGATCAGTGATGACTCTGAGGAGGTGATATCTTAATGAAGGGGAGCTAGCTATGAAAACTCTGGTGGGATTTGTTTCTGAGTGACTAATGAAGTAATCTAGACCAACCCTTCCATGAAGAAAAGGCTGCATGAAATAGTAAAACATCATAAAAGCACCAAAGATCTAGTGAGGGGAAGAATTTCTGGGCCAGTTACAGATAGCGGAACCTGGCCTTGGAGATTATTTTTCAATTAGAGCAAACAATTGAGAGGTGAAGGTGCATTTGCATTTCTTCTTTTTTTTTTAAGATTTATTTATTTGAAAGGCAGATTTACAGAGAGAGGAAAGAGAGAGAGAGAGAGAGAGAGAAAATGAGAATGAGAATGAATTTCTCTTCAATCCACTGGTTCACTCTCAAAATGGCCATATTGGGCAGGGTTTGGCCAAGGCTGGGCTAGGCCAAACCCAGGAGCCAGGAACTCCAACCCGGTCTCCCATGTGGATGACAGGGGCCCAACCACTTGGGCCATCTTCGACTGCTTTCCCAGGCCACAGCAGAGAGCTGGATCAAAAGTGCAATAGCCAGGATTTGCCCATTAGGATGATGACTTAATCTGCTAGGCCCTAATGGCGGTCTGGAAGGTGAACTTCTGAATCAAGGCAGTACAAGGCCAAAGAGCCCAAGGGGTGCTGAGCGTGGATTATTAAAAAACTGCATTTTAAAGAATAAAGTATACCTGAAATAAACCATCCTTCACAAGGACCAAATATGATTTTTGGTAAAATAGGCCAGAAAGTCTGTGATTGTGAAATTGGTTTAGGATGATTCTAGATTGCTGATCTCCCAGATGCCTTGTAGAAGCAAACAAAACCAAAATGAAATTTTGTGGTCAAAAATAGAGTAACTAATGTTGAAATTCAATACACAGGTTTAACAGCAAATTATATACAACCTAAGTGAATTTGCAAACTAAAGGAAAGCAAAAATTTAGCAAAATAAAGCCAAGAGAAACCAAAGGATGGAAACCATAGAAGAGAGAGGTTAATACCGAGAGGAAACAGTGAGAATGTCTAATGTATATTTAATTCATGTCCCAAAGGAGAAGAGAGAGAAAATAAATTAGAAACAATATTTGATGAGTTAATATCTAAAACAATGAGAACATAGGTAAGGGGACAGGCATTTGGTGCAGTGGTTAAAGACGCCTGCATACCACACGGAAGTGCCTGGGTTCAAGTCCCACCTTCACTTCTGATCCAGCTTCCTGCTGTTGTGCACCATGGGAGGCAGCAGGTGATGTCCCAAGTATTTGGGTCTCTGCCACCCACGTGGGAGACCTGGGTTAAGTTCCAGGCTCCTGGCTTCCACCTGGACCAATCCTAGGTGTTGTAGGCATTTGGGGAGTAAACCAGCAGATGGGAGATCTCTTTGTGTTTATGCCTTTCAAATTAAAAATTTGAAAAATTTTTAAATTGTTAAATTTAAAATGTTTAAATTGTTAAGAACTCAAAAATTAAGCAAGATAAATAAAAAGATATCTACACCTATAGAAGATCAAAAACAAAGAGAAAATGTTAAAGTCAGGGAAGATAGATTATCTTCAAAAGAAAGCAAAATGACAGCTGACTTTCCCAAACCACAGAATGGGATAGATTAATAGTGTTAATGCCGGCCAGCGCCTCAGCTCACTAGGCTAATCCTCCGCCTTGCGGCGCCGGCACACCGTGTTCTTGTCCCGGTCAGGGCGCCGGATTCTGTCCCGGTTGCCCCTCTTCCAGGCCAGCTCTCTGCTGTGGCCAGGGAGTGCAGTGGAGGATGGCCCAAGTGCTTGGGCCCTGCACCCCATGGGAGACCAGGATAAGTACCTGGCTCCTGCCTTCGGATCAGCGCGGTGCACCGGCCTCGGCGGCCATTGGAGGGTGAACCAACGGCAAAGGAAGACCTTTCTCTCTGTCTCTCTCTCTCACTGTCCACTCTGCCTGTCAAAAATAAATAAATAAATAATAAGGCAAAAAAAAAATAGTGTTAATGCCCTGAAATAGAATAATCATCAACCTATCATTTCATATCTGGTAAAAATATTTCTCAAGCTAAAGGCCAATAAATATATCTATATTTTATGTTAATATTATAATCCATATAGCAAGAATTCAGCTGCTTTTAAAATATAGTGTTTTGATCATATATTCTTTAAGGGATATGCTCCAAGGGT